ATCTGTAGCTAAAATGTATGTAGCTAGATTTATTTCGTCAAAAAACAGTAAAAACTGTACGTGACGTAAGGGGGTTAATTATTGACTGATTTATTTCTGAATTGAAGGGGAAAATAAATACGAAAAAGTCACAAATAAAGCAAAATGCCAAAAGTAGATATCCGTAGCTAAAATGGACGAACAAAAGGCAAAATGAAAATCTACTAAAACAACTCCAAAAGTACAATTAAGTTATTACTATTGTCAAAAGTTATAAAATCGTAACAATAATTTCAGGCTTTTGCTCATAATCAATCCTAGCGAAGGGTTTCCCAACAGCAGAGTCGCTTAGGCAATTAAGGTCGACATTTTTTTATTTTTCGTAATACTGTTCTGTTAAATTATCTCGATGCTACCAGAGGAACCAAATGTCACTCTTGGCGGCCGGAGTTCGTTAAGAATGTTACTGAGAATAATAGAAACAAATTAATTTTAACTGAATGTGGCGAACGAGTTCTCCTACTCCAAGAAAGGTTATTTTTTATTTGTACAATTTTTCCTAGAAGAAGATGGTCTTAGGTATTAAGATTATTAGTAGTAAGGTAGATATTGGTTGGTTACAAACATCGTACAACGCCATGGTTTCCAAACCTCAACCGCTTCAGTCATTTGCTCTTTATCGTTTTAATGATGAAAATAAATATTACTGAGGCTCATAATATGGCATAACACATAAAATTACATGAAACTATTGTCACTGGATATTTAGACCAACTTATAATTTCATTTCAAAAAGTTCTCAATATTCATTGCAGCATAGTTCATTAACTTTCAAATTATTTCATTTTTCTTACTCTACTTACCACTAATATAGATTGGCCCAATGGAGGTAAGTAGTAAAAAATGGATGTGTTCCACCTCCACCGAGGTACTGACGCCCTAATCGCCGGCTACACATTCCGAAGGTCTACTCAAGTATAGTTCCTTCAATAACGATTCTAAACAGTAATGAACATGATATAGTTTTAGTTTGAAATTTTAAGCTGAAATATTATTTCCCATTTTAGCCTATTTTCATCATGCTAAAGTTTTCAAGCATACCCTGTATTTTACATAGATATTAAATATGGATTTATGTTTACGAAATAACTCGTAAAATAACTGCTGCAACTGAGGCAGAGGGTCAACCGATCGCAGTGATGAGCCAGAGGGTCAAACAGTCGCGCTTCACATCACAGTGATGGTTGAAAGGCAATTTAGTTCGGGGCGATTTCGAAAAACCGGTCACCTTGCCGAAGGCGCTAGTAGGAGAAATGGCCGACTTCGCTCAAAGCTCGTGACCAGGGAATCAGGCGAAATACCACAATGAAATACATTTTTCAGTCAAAATCGGAACTTTTATTGTTTTTGGATTTTCCCCAAGATTCCGGGTATCTAATGATCAACAGACACCTCTCACATGGCCGGAGTTTTCTTTCAGAAGCCATAGTGTTCATTCAATGTCTGCACGCCTTGAAAATTAGTAATATAGATTGGAGTATCTGCCTATTATTTCAACATAACTACGTTTTCACAATTTCATAAGATGAAGAAGGACAAGATATCTTTAGATAAAGAGGCTATGCATAAGTCAGAAGGGTTACGTATACTTAGAAAGGAAGACTGGGAAATAAAGAAAATCTGAAGGGAACGAGGTAAGAAGTTACGAGGATAGGAGGGTCTCGGGAAATTCGAAACTCTAGATACAACGGCATGAATAAAGAAATCATAACCCTGAATAGACCAAGATATCTAAATGTAATAAAAAGGAAATAGAATAACGATAGCGAGATTTAGATTGGTTTATAAGGTAATTAGATGCAGGAAGTACTAGGCGATGTGAGGGAAAGGAAATAAAGTATACTTCAGGGAGAGAAAAAGACATGGAGCAAGCAACGGAAGAGTGTAGTAGGGAGTGAGAAGTCGGGACAGAAAGGAGAGATAATATAAAGTGAATCAGGTTCTGTAGGAGGATAGAGAGGAGAAAAGGAAAAAAGAAACTAAGGAAAAAAGGGCAGACAGGGTAGGATAACGTAAGGAATAGGAAAATAAGGGCAATGAAAAATGTTTTAAAGGGGTAAAAGTAGGAATGTAATTATGTAGAGTATGTAAGTAATGAATGTAAAGTTATGGGTTGAGAATGTGGGAAGTAAAATGAATCTCCGCGAGGAGGACGTTGAAAATAAACTATGTGTAATCTACTCAGGGGC